AGCCAGGGCCATCTTCAGCTGCAGCCAATCGAGTGGCTCAGAAGGAGTCCAGCATGAGGCAGCCACATTTGGGGGCATGCGGCATGCGGCATGTTGCATGCGGCTATATGCATGCAGATTAGTATATAGCCACGACGGCTTTGACAGGTATATACAAAGATGGCATCGTATGCTATTTTCAATTTTATTATATTTTTCACTTGAGATAGACAATATATATACAATATATATATGCATGCATGCATGTGTGTGTGTGCATATATTGATATATTTATGTGTGCAACAAATTCTGTTTGCATTTTCCCTTGAGTTGTCACGCACAAAGGCAAAAAGAAAATTGTTTAATTTGATTTCATTTTGGGCGCTCTTGCGTCATGGCCCGAGCCTGGCTAAATGGCGTTTGCCATATGAGCATATCGCCCAGAGACACGCCCCTAATAGCTTCTGGGTGTGTGTGTGTGTGTGTGTACAATGCAAATCTCTGACTCAATACATGTGTGTGGAAATGGTCTGGCAGCGCCCTGCTGCTGCTTAATTGCGTTTCTATTTTTCAAATATTTATTATTATCGAATATTGAAAACGATACACAAATGCGAATGCATCAGCCCCACTCTGACCCATGCCAATTGGCATATGGTGTGCCTGCACGTCATATATATAGAGTTGTTCGCCAAATCTCCCAATGATAGCGTGGCACGCGATATGCCGTGCCCTCAAACCTTCTGCACCTCGACTCACACTTCGGCTCGCTTTCAATGCGAATGGCTTTTGTCACGGTCTCCAAATTGATCTAATCCTTTCGGGTGTGCTGGGATTACGAGCAAACGGATAAATGATTGGGCGCAAACAGCTGAAAGGCACTCTAAAATGGAAATCTGGGAAATCTACATTTTTCGATACCATTTTTTTTCGAATACAACTTTAGTAACTTTTGAAAACCAGTTTTTTTTTTTTTTTTAATTATATAATTTCCAGCACACATTAACTATTTGGACTCCATTGAACCAAAGTCTATTAAATAAATAAATCTAAATCTGAGAGGAACTTGACTTTATAGTCGAGTACCGATAATTCTAAATGGCGAGGGGATCACTTTTTGTTCGAAAGAAATTCAAATTATAGACAATAATCAAAATTGATCTAAACTCCCTAAAATAAACGAATATAAATCTAAGAGACTATATGTAAATCTAAAACGTAGCACGTTCTAGGTCTGACGACTGCTTAAAGTCATCTGTAAAATTTTGTTTATTAGCACCATCTATGTGTCATTTCTTGACTGAAATTGAAATCTTTGTGAGTTTCGCTGCCTTATGATATAAATTACATAACTTACATACATTATTTTATTTAATTAATTTTGTTTGTAATATTTTAAGATCTCATATATTTTGTATATAATATATATGTATTTGAATTATTAAAAATATTTAAAATTGATGTAATTTGCACCGTTTGCCAAACTAGACATACATACATATATAGAAACATTTGCTTGCCTGCCTGTTAAATAAATCTCAATATCTATCCGAATGTGTATTAAGTATGATTTTCACAAAAGCTCCTAAGTTAAGTGAACCGAATTGGCAATAACTGGACGATCAATGTGTGTGGATGGGTAGTAAAAGCAATTGGAACTGTTAGAACTGAATGTTTCCCCCGGCACCAAAAAAAAAAAGCGAATAACCGAAATAAAATTGCAATTGGCTCAAATCTGATTAATATCGATACAAATTCTATAAGAAATGGAAATAATACAATTGGAGCAAAAGAAATTGTAATGCAGTTAGGAGGATAATTCAGTTCTGCTGTTGTTGTTGTTGTTTCTGCTGCCAAATGCCTGCAACTGCTGTCAATGGGAAGACTACACACACACACACACACACGTATATACACACAAAGCACACACACACACACACGCACTCTAAATTGGGTGAGACGCATTTGCAACTGCATAACGAAATGTTTTAGCTTAGAGCCAACTGATTTCTGATTCTCAATTGACCTCCCGCAACACTGCGAACTGTATCCAACTGCAGGTACGTTCCTCAGCAGCCAGCAGGCGAGCATCAAGCAGGAGGCCATGGAGGTGCCTGTCGAGGAGCAGCCGCACGAGGCGCATGCCGCCGATCGTCAGCCAGCGGCGTGCAAGTTGGCCAAGTTGATGCAGCGGCCGCAGCTGGCGCAGCTCTTCGAGCGACGCAGCCACAATAACAATAACAACAACAACAACAACAACACCAATAATAATAACAACAATAACAATACCATTAGCCACAATAATAACAACGATCGCATGTTCAAGAAGAATCGCTCGACAAATTCATCGCCCACGCCGTCGGCGCGCTCCTGGAACGACAGCGAGGAGGAGCAGGATTACAATCAGGACGAACGCTCCAGCTCGGCCTCGTCGGCCATTTCGCTGACCATGAAACGGAGTTATCAGGCCAGTGAGTCGACGCTCTACCAAACCCTGCAACAGCATCGTCAGCAGCAGCAACAGCAGCAGCAACAGCAGCAGCAACAACAGCAGCAGCAACAACAACAGCAGCAGCAGCAGCAGCTGCAGCAACAGAGCGAACATCGCCCACATCTCAAGCAGCAGCAGCAGCAGCAGCAGCAACATCAACATCAACAGCAGCAGCAGCAGCAATATCTGGATGAGCTGCAGCAATCCGTTTCCGTGTCACACCAGCAACAGCTGACCGCCAATCTGTTTATGGCACGCACCATTGCCCTGAGTCGATCGCGCGACTTTCCCGATATATTCCAGAACCCCTCGGCAGCAGCAGTGGCTGCAGCAGCAGCAGCAGCAGCGACTGCCACTGCCTCGGCCACAGCCTCTGCCCTGGCCAGCAGCACCAGCGGCGCTGCTGCTGCGGCGGCTGCGGCCGCTGCCGCTGCAGCCGGTGGCAGCAGCAACAACAGCAGCAGCAGCAACGCTGGCAGCAACTACATGCTGCCCTGCCCGCTGTGCGAGACGCCGCTGGAGCAGCGCGTCTTCCGCCAGCACCTGGACAGGCACTATCCGCGCGACAGTCCCGTCTGCCCGGTGATCGAGTGCGGCCGTCGCTTCGCCCATCCCAACTCGGTGCGCAACCACATGCGCATCAAGCACACGCTGCAGTGGGCCAAAATGAAGGCGATGCGCTCCTCTGGCGGCCCCTTCGCCGGCGGCCCCGACTTCAAATTCAAGAGCGAAGCGGCCAACTAGTTGGTGTCGCCCGACGGCACGCCCCCCCGGCACACACATTTCCAGAGCCAATATGCCCGCAGATACTCGCACTAGGGGCGGCCACAAATGCTTCTCTAGGTTGCTGCTAGCTGGTCAAAAGGCGACAATAATCCTAAGCCCCAAACTCGGGACACTCGCGTCTATCGTAGATAGCCAAAGACAACAGAATAAGCAAAGAAAGCGTAGTACTAGACTCGATCGAGCCGGCAGCGCCAACAGCCACTCCACTGGGCCAAATTGAAAGCTATTCCAATTTCATTTTTTATTGCCAAAAACGGTTTCATTTCAAGGATAATTCTTCGGGTCTAGCTTGAGCATAGCAAACAATATATATTCAGTTATGTTTAAAAAGGAAAATTTTGTTTGCAATTTATTTTCTTCGCATTTATTTAATTTGAAATTTCTTGGCAATGTGGCTGAAGCGACTTGAGGCTGGCATACAACAATTATTACGTTCCTATATTAAAAAAAGAAGCATAGTATACTATACTAACACTAGTACATATTCGTACTTCCACTACTGCGTATGTGCAACTTTATATATGTACAACATGCAAAGCTAGTTTTACACTGTAAAGAAAGAGCCCAGAGATGATTATATGAATAATAATGAATTCCATATTTAGTAAACAAACTTACACACCCACACACACACACACATAGAGACACTAACTCACTGGACACATACCTATGAGGCGTAGCAGAGCTGCAAGTTAAATGTAATTTTTAGTAAAGTGTAGTCGCTGCTGGATAACGTACTACTACTACTACTACTACACGCTAGATGGCGCTTTACATGGCACTAGGAACTCCACTAAACTCCAGTATTATACGTACATAGGAACGAAGCGCAAGAGAGCTGCATACACAATTCATAGTATACTATCTACCGTATAAGCGTATAAACAATATATATGATATATATTTAGTATATGAAACAAGGTATTTGTAGATAAATATGAGCTGAATACCAAGCAGAAACAATTATAAATAGTTATTATAATTAATTATAATGATACTACAAAATAGAATGTGCCTGCGTAATATATTTTTAGCCAAGATAAAAAACAAAAAAAAACAAAAGAATTAAGAAAAACCAAAAAATAAACATAAAATACACACACATACACACAAACACACTTAGACAAGTGAGAAGTTGCAAATTTTATTAGAGAAAAATTTCCAAAGAGCTCAAAATTGTCATTTGATTTCTAGTTTCGTATATAAGTATGTCGCAAGAGCATCAAGAGAGAAAAGCATACGTAAAAAGGTTCCTATAATGTTAATCAAAAAGAAAAATAAAAAGAAAAAGAAAAACTAACTAAAATTAAAACAAAACAAAAACTCAAACAAGAAGAAGAAGAAGAAGAAGAAAACGTCTTATATTCCATTTCGACACGGACAATTTTACAGTTGTGTGGCCCATAGCAAATACATATGCACATATGCATGTGTACATGTGTACTCCTACATCTATTATAATTTCTATACATAGGAATATATATATATGTATATCTGACTATATATATATATATTTTTTTAGTTTGGCCAATTGTTTGGAGAACGCGTAGCTCGTAAAGGCAAGAAATGTATCCTCAATTTATGTACGCCTCGATGGGGCGATTATGTTTTTGTTTAATAATAAAGAGCAAACGAAGAAAAGTCGAGTGAATGAATCGCTTATTCAATGAATCTTGTCTACGCAAATATTTGCAGTTATGCAGCATTGATTTACTTACATCTATGTGTTTGTTCCATCAACAGTTTCGCGTCGCTCGCTGGAGATGCGCGTGCGTGCCACAGATCCGCGACCCTGCCCGAAGTGCGGCAAGATCTATCGCTCGGCCCACACGCTGCGCACCCACCTGGAGGACAAGCACACGGTGTGCCCCGGCTACCGGTGCGTGCTGTGCGGCACCGTGGCCAAGTCGCGCAACTCGCTGCACTCGCACATGTCGCGGCAGCATCGCGGCATTTCCACGAAGGATCTGCCCGTGCTGCCCATGCCGAGCGCCTTCGATCCAGATCTCGCCTCGCGGCTGCTGGCCAAGGCCGGCGTCAAGATATCGCCCGCGGAGCTGCGCGCCCGTGCCTCGCCCACCGGTGGCAGCGGCAGCAGCGGCGGCGCCGGCAACGGCGGCAACGGCTCCCAGAAGCTGGACCTGAGCAATGCCAGCGGCGGCCCCCTGGACGACGCCGATGACTCCGACGACGACCCCGAGGATCTGACCACCGGCAGCGTGCTCTACGGCAACAATGCCAACGACCTGAGCCGCTACCACGAGAGCCTGCTGAGCAACTTCGGGCATGCCAACACCACCATTTCGCGCATGCGGACCGAGGCTGCGGCGGCGGCAGCTGCAGCGGCTGCCATTGGCCAGCAGAAGGAACTCAACGCCGCTGCCGGCGGCAGCAGCAACGCGGGGCAATCGCTGCTGGACACCTATCTGCAGTTCATCACGGAGAATACTTTCGGTGAGTTTGCGGGAATTCGCGTTGATTTCCAGTTGATGACATTTCTCTCTGTTGCAGGCATGGGCATGACGCAGGAGCATGCGGCTGCAGCGGCGTTGCATGCCGCCAAAATGGCGCAGCTGAATGCCATGGGTCACAGTCTGGACAAACTGCCGGCGGGTCTGCTGCCAGCCCAGTTCGACCTAAGCAAGCTGGCCGGCGCGGCTGGCGCAGCAGCGAGTGGCTTCGGCCACGGCGCCGCTGGACTCTCCATTGAGCCAATCCTGAGACGCGACCAACAGCAGCAGCAACAGCAGCAGCACGCGAACAGCCTCTCACCTGATGCGAACGGAGCGCTGGGGCTCAGCTCGATGGCCCATATGCATGGCAATCTGGGCGCTGGCGCGGGTGGGGAGCCCGATGAAGTGGATGTGGATGCCGAGGCTGAGATACGACGGGATGGGTCAGAGCCCATGGACTTGGGCCTGGGCCTCGACAACAACAATCAGTCGGGCAGCAACAATGAGGCAAACAATTCCGACGCCGAGGATAATTTCTCTGAGGATGAGGGCGTGCATCACACATAAGCTAGAGGCAATACACACACACACACAAAGACAGACAGAGAAAGAGAGAGAGAGAGAAAGGGAAGAGAGAAACATGCATACACAGCTAAAGAGAGCGGGTCGTTTATAAGAGAGCAAAAGATATTACGATATTAGGATACTTCGGTATTCGCATGTCGCATTTAGAAGAACAATAGATGTTTTACGATATTCGTATATCGTAACTCGAAGAATCAACCTCGTCGTCGTCTTCGTCGTGAACAGTTGTATACCCAGAAAATGGAACATTTGTAACGAGTAGCCTTATCCTCATGTATACCAGTTTACGTGTACAATATAATATATATGCATACGATAGTTACGATAGTTACCTAGGACCTAAAAACAGTTCATGAAATAATATCATGACATGTGCTGCGTTTATTATATATATAGTAGAATCTATGTTGTGCTTTTCAAAGACGGAATCAGAACAAGCTGCTATTCAATACCTACATATGTGGGTTGGAATAGAAAGGAGATAAGCATAAATATACTCACATACATATACAAACTAATCCATATATAACATATATATGCTTTATACAACTATATATATACACATGTACCTGTTGTGTGTATGTAAAAATGCAGTTTAGGAATGCAAGAACCAAGACAGTTTCAAATTCAACTCCAAAATACCTAAACATAAACCTAGATCTAGGTAAATATATACAGATACATATAGATTTTAGTGTTAGCAATTCAATTCTGTAAATAGCTAAGAAGCAAGCAAGCAAAGAAAGCATTTAAGCGGACTATACGCATACTCCAATTGAATACTCTACGAAAATCCGTCTCAGTTTTTGAAATGTATATGTGTGTGTTATTGTGAAAGAGAAACAATTCAGATGTGCCATGCCACAGCCTACCTATATACATATACATATATATGCATATATATACTATTTATAATGCTAACCATATCTCAGGAATACACGCAGAACAACCAAACTACCTCAGCTGAATGAAATTGTGTGAACCATCCATCGTAATATATCTTCCATATAGCTCTGCGTTCGTTATGGTCAGACTTGCTTATAACATACATATACATACATACATGCATATAACTTTCACAGCAGACTTGACAGCTGCCTAGTTTTAGGTTCTCCATTGGATGAGTGCAAGAAAAAAAAAAAATTAAATAAAAAGAAAAGCATCAAGATCAGAAAAAGAAAGCTAGAAAAACTCAAGCCAATTTAATATTATAGATATAAAAACGATTTTCAGGCAATGTAAATTTCATATATTATTTATACAAAAGAGAGTTACAAATACATATACACATGCATTTGTATGCATATATACGTTTATATATGTGTGTATAGTTTTAATTGCAAACCAATTTGTTTTGGGGTTAAATGTAACTGAATCAAATACCTCAACATACTCAGTTCACTCTTAATTTATACAAAGCACAAAAGAAAATGAAAAATGAAAAACACGAATTGCACTAAAATAAATTGAAAGGTTTCTTCATGTTATTATATGTCCGATTTCCTCCTACATGTACATTTAGTTTGAATATACCCAAAATTTTACTAGTTTTATTGTTAGTTTGAAGAGGAAACTCTACAAGAGTTGAAAACTCTCCCACTTGCCTTATTATAATTATGAATATGTGTTAATTTTTAGTAATTTTCTACCTCAATTAATTTAACTATGTTATTATTTAAGCGCGCAATCTTGAATATACATATACATATACACATATATATATATATATATTTTTTGGTCGCTTTGTAATTGTGTTTCCTGAACTAAATTACACGAGTCATCAAATATTTAGCATAAATTTTATTGAATATGGAAAATGAGTAGAAAATAAATTATATTATATATAAATAAAGCAAGTTATAAGTATATACAAATATGTTATATTTGTTTACATCTCTCACTCACTGTCCATTTACCTTGGTTGTGCTTATATTTGTTTCATTTCAAGCATGCCCACTGCAATATGCATTTTAAAAGACAAACCTGAAATGCACTCACAAAAACCACCAACAAACACACTCACACACAGTATGCAATTAAGTCGCTAGAATTAAACGAGTTAGTTAAATAAAAGTTACATAAGCAATTTAAGTAGAGATCCATGTGCTTAGAAAGTTATAAATATTTATTAAAATTACAATAAAAATGCGTTGAAAAGAACCAACCAACTGATTTTCATTTCCATCTTAAATTTGAATTTCACTTTTAACATAACGGAACGATCAATTGTGCAGCCCTGAATGCGATCTGGGCGATAACATTTCAGTATTTATGAAAGCAATGATATCGATTTCGATAAAGACGCTTGCTGCGGTCGTGAGTGTCAAACGACAAAGAAGAAGCTCGAAGCGGCATTTGTTTCGAATTAACTGTAAAGAAATGTTATATGAAAATAGTTCGTGCGTCGAGTAGTGTCGTTCTTTATTTAAAAAATATCTTGGAAAAATTGTCTAATTGTGTTTTTGTTTAAATATGTCCGCTAAAAACGCCATACAGGTGTGCATCAAGGTGCGTCCATGCGAGCAGGACAAGACCACATTGTGGCAAGTGAAGGACAATCGCACCATTCAGATCATCGATGGCCAGTCCGAGCCCTGCGTCTTCGGTAAGTGAAAGACAAAAGCCCTCTCTCTCTTGAGATGCATCTACTGAATCTGCCTTTGCAGACTATGTCTTCGACCAGGATACGAACAATCAAATTGTATTCGATTGCATGGCCAAACACATTATTGAAGCGTGCATGAAGGGCTTCAATGGCACAATCTTTGCCTACGGTCAAACCTCGTCGGGCAAGACGTACACAATGATGGGCGATGAGCAAAATCCTGGTGTAATGGTTCTGGCTGCAAAGGAGATCTTTAAACAGATTGCTCGCCACAATGACCGCGACTTTTTGCTGCGGGTCGGTTACATTGAGATTTACAACGAGAAGATCTACGATTTGCTCAATAAGAAGAATCAGGATCTCAAGATTCACGAGAGCAACGGCATGGTACACGTCAATTGTGAAGAGTGCATCATTACCAGCGAGGAGGACCTGCTACAGTTCCTGTGCATGGGCAACAAGGAGCGCACTGTGGGTGAAACCAATATGAATGAACGCTCCAGTCGTTCACATGCCATATTTCGCATCGTAAGCCCCAATTTTGTTATTATATTTTCATGTATAAGATATATATTTCTTCTGCTTCTGTAGATCATTGAGTCGCGTAAAACGGATCGGAATGATGACGATGCTGTTATTCAAAGCCTGCTTAACCTGGTGGATTTGGCGGGCTCTGAGCGTGCCGATCAGACGGGGGCGCGTGGCGCTCGCCTGAAGGAGGGCGGACACATCAATAAGAGTCTTCATTTCCTGAGCAATGTGATCAAGAGTCTGGCTGAGAACGAGGAGAATAAATATGTTAGCTTTCGGGACTCGAAGCTGACGCGTATATTGCAAGCATCGCTGGGTGGGAACGCTTTTACGTCCATAATATGCAGCATCAAGCCCTCAATTTTGGAGGAATCTCAGTCGACACTGAATTTCGCAATGCGCGCAAAGAAAATCCGCTCTAAACCACAAATGAATGAAATTGTTTCCGATGCGACCATGATGAAGCGCCTAGAGCGCGAAATTAAGGAGCTCAAGGATCGTTTAGCTGAGGAGCAGCGCAGAAATGAGAGCCAGATCAAGGTGCGGCTCTTGGAGCAAAGGATCAAGACGGATACGTTGAAAATAATAAGCAGCAATACAATCGCTGATAACCGCAATAAGAATCGTCGACGCACATGGTGTCCAGCCACATCGAATCCACACCCTGTGGCAGCCAACGGCGACGAGGCCGCCGCGCCGAGTCCAACGGCTGCGTTTGCTTTCAATGGACAGCGCAAATTTTCGGGTTTGCCGAAGCCCACTTTCAATCCCTCAACTCCGTATTTGAGCCACCGACCCGGCTTAAATGCGCCCAAAACAATAAACATTATGAAGTCTCTGGAAGTAACCGAGGAGGAAGAGTTTAAACCCTCTGCTGACTTCAACTTTGGAGATGTCCCGGACCCGATGACCAATAGTCGCATCCTTCCTCCTCTGAGCCTAACTCCCCGCATATCGCAAGGAGATGAACGCAGGTATATGAAGCCTAGAATATCATAAATCACGTCATCATCAAACTCACTCAACTAATAATCTCATATATTTCATATTAATCATAATCGCTCGCATGCTCCCATCAAACATAAATCCCAAACATGTGTAGTAAGCAAATGATCGAGCGTGATCTTGTGGAATTATCAACGTTCGTGAAGCTAGAGCAGAACATTGGTAACGAGTGGGAGGACCTAAATAACAAATTTGCTGTGGCTACAGCTCAAGTTGATGAGCTGCAGTCTGAGAGAGTCAATCTAATCGAGCGGTGAGTTGCATCCTAACTAGCATGATTCCAGAGCGAACGGAAGTGCGATTTTCTTTAATGATTTGATGTCATTATATGTGGAGGTCAAGTGCCCTCTACTCGGAATTTACCCCTGTGGGGTTCTGGTATTCGTACATACGCAGAAAGCGATTCATTTCCTGCTTTCGCTTACTGAGCACTATATAGCTCTGATGTGTTTGTTCGTTCTACTACTTCCTTCTTTAATAATTTTGCAAACCCAACAATTTTAGGATTTTTTTTTCTCAAATTTGAGAATAGTTAATATCCACATATTTCTAGTAGGCTTTGAACTATGCGTCAAAAGTGAGCTACCATACACAGAAATTATTATGATCTCAGTCACATTAACATCTACGGCATCGAACAGACCAGTCTACTATAATAATTTCAAGTCTCTAGATATTATATTTGATTATATTTATAACAGCAAATAAGCTCACGGATTAACAGTTGGAAACACACATATATTTAGAACAATTCAGCGCATTCCGATGGATTCAATGGAGTATGTACTTGATTTTTCGTGTTTCATATTTTTTTAAAATGTTTTGTTTTATTTTTAAAAATATATTCAATTTGTATCCTCAATAAAACTTTTACGTTGGCTTTCAATTTGAATGCTCAATTCACCACTTCAGGTGCGCTCCATTACCTATGCCTGAAGTCAACTCGTGTTGAACTTCTGTTTGGCGTCTCTTCTATTATGTGGCGTTCGTTTCGTTTCGTCTTCTCTGAATCAGTTGCCGACAACGACGTGAGCGAGAGGCCCGCACGAGCTGCATCAAGCTGGCTGGAAGATAAACAAATGCTTAGCAAAGCCCACTCACACAGCTGTTGTTGTTAAGCGAGCGCTTTGTTTTGATAGCACTGAACTACTACACCTATACATGCATAGGTGATGGAAGCGGGTTTCGCGAATAATTTTTGGCCCAGCCGATCGCCCTGACGTTTGACTGAGCGCGAATGCGATAAGCAAAAACGATCTTAACAATAAACCATTTGACGTTGTTTTCGTCGATAAATGTTGTTGCTCCAGAAGTCATTTTACTTCGAACGCAGCTGTCCAACAATCCGCACCGCACCTACCGCTCGACGCACACATCGATCGATGACGTCTTCAGCCAGTCTCATAACTACTCTATACCCAAATGCTCTCTGATGTAACTCACAAGTAAATTGGCCCTCAACCAAACTTAAGTAGTGTGTGAGTAAATATATATATACATATGTATATGCATGAGTAAAAGCGAATGCAACAAGCACAGCAAATGATTTTTTATATTTGTAAATATGCTCGCGTGTATGTGTGCGTGTGTGTGTGCTGTGTCTATTTGTTATAGCTCCAACCTCAACTGGAAGACTGTCTGGGAGCATCTGCAGGCAGCTGCAGCCGTCTCTATTTATAGGTGGCTCGCTATAATTAATGCACGTTCCGGAAAAGTAGATCCCAGCCACAACGGCCAAGCGAACTTAAAAGTTGTGCGTTTCTTTGAACAATTTGTGTTTGTACTCCAGAATTCACTTTTATAATTAAGCTATTATGATCTGATCTGCCATCGATACTATTTGCTTTCTTTCTTTTCAGCTGTGAAGCCCTTCAGGCCGAGGTAGATGCCCTGACCAAGTCGAAGCAAGCCGCCGACACAAAAATCGAGCAGTACGAGGAGCAGCTGAAGACGTTGAAGCAAATTGTTGAAAGGCTGGAGATGGAAAATCGTGCTGCAATCGATTTAGAGTTTCAGTTCGAGAACCATAAATCAAAGTCGAAGTTACGGGAAAATGAACTGCTGTCGGTGCTATCTGAGAAGGTGGACACGATAGATAATCTGGAGAAGACACTCAAGGAATTGTCGAAGGATGTGCTACGCAACAGCAAGGAGGATCATATGCGTTCCATGTGCCCGGAGATTGAAGTCAGTTGCGAGCGCATCTGTGACAAGTGTGTGGATCTGGAGCGCATGCTAGAGGAGTTTAAAAAGACAACATCTAACGGTGATGCCGCCCAGGTCATTGATTCTGAACGGGAACAGCTGCGTGCGGAGATCGCCAACACGCGTGCTCAGCTGGAAACTGTGCAGAGCGCCTACAGGCAGATGGAAACGGATGTGGCTGAAAAGTCGGAGCTATGTGACCGTCTAAGCCGCGATGTCATCTCCGCCGAGGAAGCCAAGACTGTGCTCCAGGAGAAATGCGTCGACTTGGAGATTGCACAGCAACAGCAGGATGCGGTCATACGAAGAATGCAGGCCGAGTACGATGCCATTCAGGTAAAGTACCAAAAGCTACAGCAGGATTATGAACTGCTCGAGCAAGCCACTGCGGCTTCAGAGGAGGAGCATCGAAAGCTGTTGCTTCAAAATGAAAGTTTGCAGCAGGAGATTAGCGCGTTGAAGGAATCATTCGAGCAGGTGCAACAGACGCTGCTGCAGACCACAAATGAAGAAGATAAGTCCGTACTTCTGGAGCAGCTGAGGGCACACAATGATGAACTCATCGCGAATCTAGCACAATTGGAGGCCAAGTATAATGAAATGCAGCACGAATACGAAGATCTGTCGAATCAGCTGGTTGACAGCATGCAGGAGGGTGACAGCCTCCGCGAACAGTGCAACGCGCTACAAGAGGAGTTGCAACAGCATCAAGCAGCAACAGATAAAATGAGCGTTGAAAAGGACCAGAGGATCGAGCAGCTGCTCTCTCATATCGCTGAACTGGAGAGTGAAGTTGCTGAGAAGAACAGTCTTATAGA